TTCTGGTGGCCAATCTTAATTTGTTCAGCTAAAAGCATTTGCCGAAAAAACCGGTACCGGTAGCAACAGAAACTGCGGGGAACCATGCAAAAAACGCATCTTCGCACGGGCAGCCCGTGCGTTGGCCAATTATTTTTAAAAGAAAAGGCCAAAAAACAAAAAAATACTTCATCTTCATAAGATACCATCTGCATCCCTCAAGTGGTAATTTATAAAAGTGAGATTTTTTTTTTTTTTTTGAATTTTTCACTTTCTGGATGTTTAGCTTTGCAGTATGCAATGAAGGATTCTGGAGTGGTGAAGGGTAGGGATTTTGTAACAACACGAATGTATCGACGAATTGATGACGATATTGTGGAAGCAGCACGAAGCTACGAAACCGACGAGGTGGAACGATATAAGAAGAAAGTTCGGTAAGATAGCATCTATTTGTTTGTTAGTTTAAATTTCATTTTATGTTGCCGCTCTTCCCAGTCGACCAGAATTTCTTCGTGGTCTTACGAGTGATGAGGTCTGAGGATAAGCTCACTGATGCCCAACACACACACGCACGCACACCAGTGACAATTCATAAGGACTAAACCTTACCAGATGTCGCGGAACTCCGCGAAAAAACAGAAGTTGTTGAAAGGGTCTGCTGCACGAGGTGCAGATGTAGACAATACGAAGAATGTATGGAGGTTCCATAAATTCTCTGTATTGTCTGATCACCATCATAATGTGTACTACCTGGCTGCCACAAGTGATTTGCATTGTGTACTTGCTGCACATTGTGTAGCACACCCTTTCAATAACTACAGGCTTTTCACGGGTCTTCCGCGACATCGACAGCTTCTATTCGGAGAATCATTGAACTAACCCTAATCATTCAGGAAACGAAACGAACGTCTGATCTGTCAGCAGGCTGAAGCACTGATCAAAGCGACTGGAAAAGCTGTCAGCTGCACAATTCTAGAACTGTGCTAGGTTGAGTACACTTTGCTGAACATATATGAGTACTAGTTTTGGAATTCGTTGTATCCGAATATAATAATACTGATTCGTCAACATCAGTAATGAAGAGATATGATGTAATAGCCAAAACTTCATAGTAAACCTTATGCCAAGAACCATAAATCATTTAGATAGTATTTTGCCTGGGCATTCAATTAACCTTGAAAATGAGCTTCTAGATGTGCCATGAATTTATTGTTGTGACCCTTCATGCCTATCATTGTTCGGATTTTTTTTTTCGTTTTTGTTTTCAATTGGTAACCGAAAAAGCTAAAAAGATGAATGTTCAGAAGACACTTGCCAACCGTGCGTGATCCTAGATTTTTAAATTTAGGCCCCAAATGTGACTGGCCAAAAAGGGTAACTGAATCGCCCACCTGGTACACGTTGCTACTTTATTTTTACCGCTTCGACCAGCACTTAAATAATTCTGGGTTCAAAACTCCAAATTGCTTTACATCGCACATTGGTATTTTTATAATATTTCGCAAATCTTTAACCATACTTTTTTTTGCA